CCTTAAAAATAGCCTTATAATTTAATTGATTAACTGCAGATTCAGTCCATTGTCCTCACTGGAGGCTGTAGAGGGCTAGTCTGAAAGGCTTCATGTTAAGAAACTAGTCATGCCAGTTTGCAGACGTTCTGCGATGCACTTAAAGTGCTGCGCTTCTTAACAGAAAGGAGCAAATAATATAAGATATATGCAGTCCGATGGTATTCTCTCCAATTGCAGGTTGGAAGCTAAGACAACCTTAAAGCAATCCCGGGTGCTGTCGGGTGTTTTCGCTATACTGCAGGGAGGGGACGGAGAGTTCAACTGAGGCAGTCCATGCAGTCTACTCTGCTCTTATTACGGTGGATTTGCGGCCGTGCCAGGGGTAGTTTCCTGTAGCCCTCAAATGTTTTCCAGTGTTGATAGTTCAATCAGCAAAATGCATAAGGCTGCTGGCTTGGCTTCCTAGGCGAAAATCTGATGCACCAAACATTCTATGGGTGTTTGAGATGAAATGCTGTTTTAAATCTCCTTTCAGATGAAATCCAGCGCTCATTGTACGTAGAAGCTTTTCTGACTGTTCAGTTGCAGGCAGACGAATTATGCGTGTTTGCTTAAATTTTTATTCGCATATGAACTAAGACGTGCATTAGAAAGAACATGTCTTTGCCGCTGTCTTTTTTGGGCGGGGAGTTGGAGGTGGGTGGGAAATTTGCTGCCCAGTCACAGATACAACGAAATATTGAATTTCTCCATTGCTTTTTATGGGCATCGCTGTCATTGCTGTGAACAGCCCAAAGAACTTCGCCTATTGAGCAATAAATAAATAAATTCTATTCCAGGGTGGAACACTTATATTGTAAGGTCTATATATGGAAATAATACATTCGAGATAAGTTTCTTTTTACTGATTATATTTATGCCTCTGCGACGTAGATAACGTCGACTTGCGTTCAGATACTGGAAGTTTTGACTGAATATTTCCTATCTCTATGACATACTCAGAGCCTTTTCGTATAGAGATAATGTTACCGTATCAAACCATTTAAGCTTCCGATTTCCCTTCCGACGATGCCACATTAAAGGTAGGAGACTAACACGAAGGAACGCTTTAGCCCTCCTCTCCAGTCTTTATAAAGCACTTTTATGTTTCTACACATTGGTTCAAATTAGAAGCTCACGTGTCAATATAGTTTCACTGAGTTTGTAACACACACACAAAAGGAGGTGCACTCTCATTCATTATCAAGTCCAAAAAGCCTTCCGTTTTTCTGTCTCTATGGCCATGGCGACGGAAATGACGACACGAAACCGGAAAAACGTATTCTTCCGGGGCACATGTTTGTCTCCACGTGGATGTAGATTGTAGATGCTGCCGGATATTCCGTGGAGATGGATGCGTTAGATAGAGTGGTGTAAGTAGAATTGTTTGTGGGACTGTTATAGGGCTTTTTCCCCGTGTTCTTGTAACTTTAGGGCCTTTCCCTTTCGTGTTATTAGGGTTGTTCTCTTGTGCTGCCTGGATTACGCAGCCTTATAAAATGCAGTGCTTGCACTCTCTGTAAGTCCGAGTGACTCAAGTGGAGTTTAGACTCGAGTGTTGTGACTTATTGTTGCATAGGTTTTCATGGGCTAGCATAAGCATCATTAGGAACGCGAGGGCTTATCTTGAACCGGTAGGTATCCGTGAATGTACACAGTAGATTTTACCAACCTGGAGCTCTCCAGATGTGTTGAACTGTTGTTATGTGCCATCAAATAATCTCTGATTTATGGTGACCTTATGAATGAATTCCATAAAAATGTCCTAATTTCCTATTCAAGCCAAGTGATGTTCAAAGTGTTGCAGCAAAGAATATGTACCTCCTTTTGGAACAAGAAATGTGCAACAGTCTAGCAGGATATCAGGATGATGCACTCGGGTTCATATTGCAAATGAATATTAACTATTGGAGCTCACCAAAGAATTTCAGAGGAAGATCAGTCTGTTCTTTATACGTTACAGCAAACCCTTAGACTCTGTGGATGAGAAGAAGCTATGGATGATTATAAAGGAATGAAGGTGTCTCAGCCCTTGATTGGCCTGATGCATAACCTGCATCATGAACAAGAAGCTTTAGGACATACTTTAGGACAAAGTATGGAAAAATAGAACAGTTTCTTGTTGGCAACAGCATCAGACGAGCGTGTATTTTATTCGTTCTGTTTTCTCTGTTCATTCTTTACACAGAATATAGCATAAGGAAAGGTGGATTAGGATCAGATTAAGAGTGAAAAATTTGCAGAAAATACATCAACAGATTAAGAAATGCAGATGATACCATATGACCAGAAGAAAGCAGTAATGAATTGCATTGATTCTTGATAATAGTGAAAGAAGAAAGTGCAGAAGCAGGACTAGAACTGAACATTAAGAGATCAAAAATTGTGATTTCAGAAGTACAGAACTTTGTCAAAAACAAAGGCGCTGAAAAGATGAATTATTTTATATAGTTTGGCAGTCAGCAAGTCAATTCATGTAGCTGAGAAATTCAAAGAAGACTGTGATTGGAAGGGCAAAAAATGATCAAACTAAAAACGGTCATCAAGTGCAAGGATGTTGTATACACACTATATATAGGTGTGAAAGCTGGAAAAAAAAAGATGACAAGAAGAAAATTGATACATTCAAAGCATGGTGCTGGAGAAGGGCTTTGTGAATACCTTGAACCAACAGAAAGACAAATGAGTCCTAAATCAAATCAAGCCAGAACTTGCTAGGGAAAGTCAACAGCAGAAGAGAAAGACCAAATATGGGATGGACTGATTCTATCAAGGAAGCCACAGCCTTGAGTGAGCAGGTCTGCGAAGGATGGGACTTTTTTTATTTATGGGGTCGGCATAAATCAGAGATCACTTGACCACACATAGCAACAGCAACATCTTAAAAGTATAGCATGCTGAGGCTGTGCATTGTCACTGAGATATTAATGAGAATTCAGTTCAAATTCTGACTCAAATCTTACTGAATGCAGTGTTAAATTCAGTTGGCAGATTATCCATTTGTGTGTGTGTGCGCACACACACGTAAAGGTTGTGGGAAATGGGTAAACAGACCTGATAGATGATAAAATTGTAGCGGCTTTTTTAACCACATCTTGATGTTGTTTATTTCTACCCATCCAGCTGTAGGCAGTTTTGGTTCCGTGCTTGCATTTGGATGCTTCCAGATTTGGCCTTTGCTTTAAGCAGCTGTGTTCTACAAATGTTGCCAGTATTATGTCTGGGATTCTTGGATGATTATGTTGAAATGAAAAGTGTTTTGACCATCAGACAGGAGGACCTTGAACCTGGTGTTTTAGTTCTGCTGTTAATTGTGCCATTAAGAGAATGTTGATTTTAGTGGGACAAAGAATGCAGAGATATTATAAAAACAGCACTAGGTTGGTTCCAGTGTCTATCAGAGGGAATATTTCTTTAATATTACTCTTAGGATCCTAACACTGAATCCTGTATGCTACTATTGTAGAATACTTTTAAAGGAATTTATGAAATCTTCAGATATAAATTAATTTTGTTGCACAATTACCAAATTCTTCATTTATTCTAATCAGGCATTACATGCACGTGCCTGATCTATAGGTCAGTCTAATTTAAGTAATACTAAGTCTAATTAAGACTACTCTAAGAATAGCATCATGTGTAACTCTGTCTTAGCACTGTCTGGCTTTTCCTTTCTATTTCTTCTATAGGATAGCTGATGGAGCAGGTAAAATTCCATGAAAAAAATGAAGACCATAGAAATGGCAATATTAGCATCTTATTGGACAGCCTTGGAGGTTGTCTCTCAGTAGGTAGAGGACACAAAGTTCAGAGCCCTTCACCTATCCTGTGCTATCTCAGCAAGGTTGAGGCATTCCTCTGAACTCATCTAACTTAACTTTCTCTGGTCAGGGAAGGGACTGGAGAGGCTATAGGATTATCTATATCCTGGTCACATCTTTTCTCTCCTCCAACATACAGCCCTTTTCTCCTCCAGCTTCACTGTGCTCTCATACAGGAAGCTTTCTGGAGCATCTGGGGAGGAGGAAGGGGAGCAATGATTCAATTCATGATTAGATCTCTTCCTTCATGCTTCTAGCTCTGTCAGTGGGCACAGAGGAAAAGATCTGCAGAATCCCATGGCAGCTTAGTTGGTGTCTAGGCACCTTGGGTTTGCTCTCTTAATTATAAAGGTGGATGCTTTGGCAAACCAAGGTATAGACTGAATGTAGAGGCAGTGAATTGTCACATCGCTGTTAATCCATTTCAGATTTCAGGTGCGCAGTCATGTTAATCTGATACAACCTAAAGGTTGTGGCAGAACAGCTAACCTTGTTGTGATATAACTCTGTGCTCCAGCACCCATGTTGAGTTTCTGTAGATAAGTCTATATAAATTGTTTAATTCATAAGTTATCATCTGCCTAGTAGCACCATAGAAATGACCTGGTCTGTGTGGGCAGCTGTTACTGAAAGAGCTCATGCTACAACAAATCGGTTTCTAAGATGCTGATGTCTCCCCTTTTCCAGTATAAAGACAGAGCATATCTGGTGGGAAGAAAAATAGTGTGGTTATGAAGGGAAGATTTGTTGGCTGATGTGGCAACTTAAATGCAAAATACCAGGCATTTAATTGGCTTCTGCTTGAACAAGAAAATAGTTTCTTATGGGGCTTTTCAATTGCAGAATGTCTTTAGGGGCAGGTTTGCATATAACCTTAAACTATTTAATCCTGAGGACTGGGGTGTGTGTGTGAGAGAGAGAGAGAGAGAGAGAGAGAGAGAGAGAGAGAGAGGCACACTTGTTCTTGCCTGTATGCACACATTAAATTATCAATTAAAATGCTAATTAATTATACTTGATGCCCTCTCCATTGAAGTGGGATAACCTTTTTAAGGAGATAAATTGCTTTAACAGAGTTGCGTTTTATATTGAAGGCAACTCAGAGGGTACCATATGCCACAGTTCTGTGCACATTTGCTTGGAAGCAAGGCTCATGGACCACAGATAAGTTTTCTTCTGGTTAAATCTGCACACGAGGAGGTCAGATACTATTATTTAGATAATTGTTCGTGTGACAGGGTTGTGATTTTGGCTGATTGATGAATAGTAGGAGAGATTTTGTACTAAATATATATGTATGTATGTATATATATATATATTTAAGGAAACTGACTGGTTGTTTCTGGACTGCAGTTGCCATCGTCTCTGACCATTGCCTGTGCAGGCTAAGACCAATGGGAGATGGAGCCTAACAAATCTGGAAGGCAGCAGTTCTCAGCCCTGCATTAGTAGAACTGCATGCTACAGTGTAATATTCTAGTTGTAAGAAAGAGTTTCATTACCTAAATTTCACATGTATTTTATTACAAATAGTGTATTTTCAGATACATTTGAATACTTTGTGAAAACTACCTTTGTGTTTTGAAATTTTCATGGCAGAAAGCCCAAAACTAAGAGGGCCAAACGGTTTCTGGAGAAAAGAGAGCCAAAGCTCACAGAAAATACCAAGACTGCTATGCTAATAAAAGGTGGCAATGCGAATTCAACAGTGACTGAAGTGCTGAAAGACATTGTAAGTATGTTTGGCAATATATGTAGAAATGACGTCTTGTTGTGAGGGGGGCGTTATGCAGGTGTCCTTGCTGGGAATGAGCCTCGTGGGTGATGTGCCCTGGGCACCAACCCCCTCATGGACTGGACTTCAGCTTTAGGAAAATTCATGGGATATTTTCATGTTAAAAGCCCTCTTGGGATGCACACTTCAATCCTTGTTGATTACAATCCCAAATTTGTAACAGACAGAATCATTAATAACTATTTTCTGAGACTCTTTCAAAGTGGTATCGCTCCTGCTTCTCCCTACATTGTCATCCTTGAAATATTCCTGTATTTACTTTAGATTCACATTCTGAGGTTTATCTCAGGATAACGTACGGGAATATTTAACCATAACCTTTAAGGGTGCAATCACAGGATTTTTTTTTGTGTCTCAGCATGCATAGCACTGGCAGTGTTCCCTGTCCAGCCAAGCCGGTGGAGGAATACTGGAAGCAGTGGCCCTTCCCGCTCTCTAAACATGCATACAATTGCACCCTCAAAACCTCACAATAAAACCTGGCAGCATATTTAGACCCAGGGGGAAAAGAATTGAGTAGTGGGAGGGGATGGAAGTGCAATTTAAAATACTGAATAAAAATCATTCCACATGTGCGAAAGAGTGCATCCTTCAGGGTTGTCTACTTTGGGTCTGTACACTGATAGATGTCTCTGCTCCACTGGGGGGATTCCACTGGAGGAACAGGGAGGGGGCAGTTTTACCAGTTCCACCTTTCCCCGCAGCACCTACCACACTGTTCTGTAGAGCCCCCCAAGCCTCCAGACAGTGGCAGTGTTAGGAACCACTCACAGGGCTGGTGCCCCGAGCCCCAGATTTCTGCGAGGCCATCTGCCCCACCACCCTGCTGCCCAGAGGTACTTGCTGCAGTAAAGTGACGGGACTGATGATCTCAGTTGCATCCGAATGTGGCCCACGTGTGGTCTAGGCTTCCGCCACTCGAATGCCTTCCTCTCTGCTGTCCATACATCCCTTTTCCCAAATTAGGGTGCTTGTGGGAGGAAGGGTCCTGTACCATTTTTGGCCCATGTGTAAATTAGCACATAGAAATCAAAGTGGGTTTTTGTCCTGTGGGGCTGAGCCCAGATCTTTTCAGGACCTAGTACTGACCGTGCCTCCAGAGCAGACTGTGGGGAGGTGGATTGCCTCCTTCCTTATCCTGCTGATGGAAGCCTGCATTGGATCCAAAAGCCTTCTGTCAGTGGGAGGGCACCAGCTGGAGACGGCACCCTCTGGAATATGGGAGCAGGAACAGAAGATAGTGTGGCTCAAATGATCCAAGTGCTGGCATGGTATCCATGTCTGTTGAACTCTTGGTTGCAGGAGGGATCATTTGAGATCTTTTATATGTCAGGGACCACTTTTGTTCATGTGTTTCTTGCCATCGCTGAATGTTCTGGGAAACAGCAGGGGATTAGCAGAGCAAGTGATGTCTGTGTCTCATCAAAGCAAACATGTTTCCCATGCATTTAAAATGATCAGTTGTAGACTGCCGCACTGGTAAATTGCTGTTTTTAATGTCTGCTTCTGTATTTTTGTAGTACGCTCTGAAAAAGCCTTTTGCTGTTTTATATAAAAAGTAAGTGAGGCTTTCCTTCATTAATCATGTGTGGTATTTGCCAGATTTTAAAAAGCAGCTCCTATAAAAATATGATAATTTGTACATTACCAAGCAGTATTCATCTACCCATACTGCCAGTGTCAAATGGCAAATCCTGTAACGGGGTGGCAAAATACATTTGAAAGATTATTGGGCTTCCATTATTATGCATTTCATTCTGTGATCTGTCATCTGTAGCTGGTTGATTTAAGTCCAGGCTGACTGCTGAGAGAAATTCAAGCTTAGGATTTTACAAGAGTCCCCTTACTAAAGAGAGCAAGTTACAATACACAGATATGCTTCATGTGGTTCTAGGGCTTTTTAACTGCTCTGGATCTTGCTTAATTGCCAACTTTGTATAAGGAAGAACTATAAAAAGCAGTATGTACTTAGAGTGTATTCCTGTGGCTAGCTGACACCATTGGGCCAGCCACTGGAAAATTTGCAGTTTCTGTTCAGATCCTAGAAATGTACTCCAAGGCCAGAGCCGGGACTCTGAATTCAGAGCATCCCACGATGCCATTGTGGCTTTCACAGTCTTTTCCATGCTGAGGGTGCAAAACTGATACAGCCTAGCTGCACCTCACCTATCCTCCATAGAAAGATTTAAATGGCTGGAATGTCCAAGTCTTTTGCAAGGCTGGAGAAGCTCCAGGGTAACTTCATTTCCATGCTTCTTTCATCCTCAGTGGGATACCTGTAATCCTCCAATTTCCCCATTGGATTGCATCCTTGATCTATCAAAAGCATTGGTGTGGGATGTTATGATAGCTCACCACAAGGGCATGGATGTTCCTTGGAAAGGGTTACATTTGTTCACAGTCAGGGATAATGAGCTCTGGCAGACTTAATGAGCCTTGCCACACTACATTAACATTAAGTGGTGGTTTAGTCCTTGCCCTGATAAGACAAATGGGAGTATTTCAATGCAGTATACCCAAAATTATAAAGTAAAACTTGCAGGTTTGTCATGCCAGATATTTAAGGAACAAAAGCACATTAAAACTTTCTGTTATCTTCAGAAAAAATATTACAAGACCCTTTGAAGATCAGACCTCACTGGTGAGTATAAAGAAGGTTGGTCCATCTTGATTAAGAAACCTGTCCTTTATACCACAGTAGAACAGCCAAATAAACAAGACTCAGAGGAGAAATTCCCAAGATGCCATAGCATGTGACATGTGCCAGTGCAGGATGCATGCCATTTGGAATGACTTACTGAATCAGCCTTGCCTAGCTTGATGTTCTCCAGAGGTTTTTGGGCTACAACTTGTCTCAGCCCCAGTCAGCATGGCCAATGTTCAGGTGGGAGTTGCCGTCCAAAACATCTGGACAGCACCAGGTTGAGGAAAGTTGCTAAGCAAGAGGTTAAGGTGACAGGAACAAACTCAGTGAGCCACTCACTTGGGTGTCCTCCCTGTCTTGTATCCTGGTTGTGAAGAACAGTTAAGGTGTTTTTCCTCTGGTTTAGCGTAACCATATTGTCCAAATTCTAGAGTACAGTTAATCTTAACTATG